TTTTTTTTTTCCAAGATGGGGGATCCTGCCACACTGCACCTGTAACAGGGGGAACGGCCTGAAAAAGGGTAAAATGTTTTAAAACCTGCAACCCTGCCCAAGGGCAGTAATCGGAAGGGCAGGGGAGTGTTCGTTTTTTGTACCACAGGAGATGGCTCAATGGAATTGTCCCAGCAGACACTGTCTTCCTTGGAGATGGGGTTGATCAGGACCATCAACTACAGTTAAACAGCAATAGCCTGAAGCTGAAATCCCCCCATTTAGGGTTTTTTTCTGTATTTCTGCTTATAGATAGGAGGATGGTACTTTAAGATGCGAGTCTGCCATCCTCCTCATTTGCCAGCAAATTAATAAACTTCTCTTTCCTTTTCCTCAAACCACTTGTCCTTATTCCTCTGATGTGGCCTCAGGGACAAGGGTGACCACAGTCCTAAAGAACCATCTTAAGTTAGTATGAACTTTAGGCCCCTTTTTATGTTAACGGGAGGAGGGGGAGTTGCAAGAGGTAACTGAGGACCGCAGACATCTGGGTGTCAGCGAGAGTCTGAGGAGGCTGTAAAACTTCAGCTCCCAAATTATTACTCCTCCCTTCCTAACCTAACACTATTGCTCCTTTAAGGTTCCTGCCACCTGGCGACACCTCAGGGTCATCTGAGGAAGCTCTGGTCATTCTTCCCTATCCACAGCTGACTGGCACCTGGCTCTGTCTTCCCTTTGATGCCATATCCTATCCCAAATCATGAGTTTCTACCCCTGCGGAGAGGATTCATCCCAATAGCTCCCTTACGTCCTCTAGTCCAATCATCTTAACTTCATCTCAGCTTCATTTCTTGTCTTATCACACTCTATGTTCTGGCCAAGTTGAACTTTTCAATTCTTCAAACATACTGTACTTTCTCTCACCACTATGAAACATCACACTGCTACTCACCCTGACTCTACTCAGCTTAATTATCATTTCCTCCACCATAAACTTTAGGTAAGATTTTGAGATGTACCGAGTTCCAGGGTATGAACGTTTTATACGTGAAACCAATTTTATGACTTAAAAAGAACACGAATCACATGCTGCACAAATAGTGGAGTAACGGTGCCAACTAAACACACTGATCTATTTTATCCAGGCTAACCCATTATTTATACTGGACTTGTAGCTTTTATTCATTCATTTATTTAAATATTTACTAAGTTCTCACATATATGCATAGTCTAGATATAGGAGATACAGATGTGGACAAGACACAGTACCTAACAGTCTAGTGATATAAACAGCAAATAATGCAAATAGTTCCATAACGTCAACTGAGATGACAGATGTGAGAGTGCTTTGTCGTCTTTAGGCCAGGGTTTCTCAATCTGGGTGCAATATTGACCTTTGGGGCTGGAGAATTCTTTGTTGTGGGGGGCTGTCTTGTACACTATAGGATATTTAGTCCCTGGTTTCTACCTACTAGATGCCAGGAGCACACCTCCCTAAATCTGACAACCCAAAATGTCCAGACACTGCTAAATGTCTTCTGGGAGGCACTGTTCCCCGGTTGAGAAATATACTGCTTTAAAGAACTGTATAATGTAATACACATAAGATACAGTCATCACTAGGTCCTAGATCATCTCATTCAATGGTACCAGTGGCAGTCTAGTCCTCGAATTGTTTCCATCTGGAGACTATACCAGGCTATTCCACTGGATGAAGTGAGAGAGAATGCTATGGGCCACCTCTGACCAGAACTCCTTACATCCTGCATCTCTCCAGGTTTATTTAATGGCTGGGAGACCTCCTTTAACACCTGCAGAGATGAGTAATAGCCTTGCTATAATTGTCCTGATGGTGGCTTCTCTGTAATATTTCAGGGTTATGACAAAAAAGACCTACCCCAAAGCTTTAGCGGGTTCAGTGAAGGAGTTCAGTGCCCCTGAAGTTGCCTGTTCTCTGTAAGGGCAGGGACTTTTTTTCCCCCCCTTGAAGTATATGACACATAGCAGGGGTGGGGGTAATAACTAGTCAGAATATTCCATGAGATTTTTAAAAACTCTCTGTTTACATCATGTCCAAGTTATATTTTTGTCGAAATTAGTATTTGTGGAAAGAAAGGAGAAAAAAATTCAAGCTGAAATAAAGGGTTGGATCAAAGTTGAGTTGTTAGAGTCCAGGGAAAGGGATAGGATAGGAATCTTTCAATATGATTAAAAAAAACAAAGAAGGAAAGAAAAGAAAAGAAAAAAACTTTTTTTTTTTGTCTGCAACATTACCCAAAAAACTTCTTTATTTCTTTGTAAAAAGGGAAAAAATTTAAAACATATAAAAACCAAAAAATTTCTAGGTCCCCTTCTAGAATGGAAGCCACTTTGTTAGTTAAGAAACATAACGTGTAATTTAGTTTGGTCACACAATTTTTTGGCAAAATCAGTTTAAAATAATATCAAATAAGAATTAAGAATTTAAAAATAGTTCAAGATGATGGATATCCTAATTACCCTTATGTGATCACTATGTGTTCTATGTATCAAAAAGAAAATTTAAAAACAAACTATAAACTCCTGTACAGTCTCCTAATTTCTGCTAGTTCATAAAAGTAGACAAAACCTTGCCCTGGGAAAGGAGTATGGGCATAACCTACACTGGGTTACTATATACCTGTATTAGGTTAACTTGCACTAGGCACAGTGCTACGTGCTTTCACACAAATTCTTCCCTACATCACCATCTTCATTTTACAGAATGAGCAACCTGAAGCCCATGGAGGTTAAATAACTCTTCCAATGTTAATGAATGATTAGGTCAGGAATCAGTTACATGTATGTTTAGTTCCAAGATCCATGTTCTCTCCACTACTTCATAATGCCACTAACTTGGTAAAACAAATTGAGAACTCTACTCCCAATCCTTGGAAGTCTTATCAAGAGAACAGGTGGAGCTCCACTAATCTTAAGACTAAAAATCATCAGAACCCTCACAAAACAAGAAAGATACTTTTTCTTTTTCCCCCCTCTTTTAGGAAAAGCACTATTTTGGAGAAATAAGTGCTTCTTGCTCCTATCTGGGACATTACACTTCACCATCTGTTCAACCACACGAAATAAAATGATCTGTATATTTTTGGAAATAACTTTGAGTGATAGGATAAGCACATGGTTGAAATCGCATTATACTTAGCACTTTCCTGTCGGGTATGTTACACTTACAATAAAAGTTTACCAAAATAAAATTCTTCTCACTTGAGGTGATGGTGGTAGGAAGAGTATTAAAATTCCTAACTTGAAGAAAAAAAATTAAGTTTTCCTTCGAAATTTATTTCCAGGACTTCAGATAGCCATCCCACTTGAAATATGATTCATCTGGAAAACTCTGGCTTCCAGTGCCTTGGTAAAGGGTGTAGTTACAGGAGTTATTATTCCGTCACGTCCTCTACACCAAAGCTGTTTCTGGGGCTCCTTTGTGGGGCAGACAGGCGCCTGCCAAAAATGAGACGGTGAATTAAGGATGGTGGCTGGGGGTTTGGTGTGGGACAGTAATCAAATGACACTCCCGCGCCCCCGGGCAACACCGGGGCGGCGGCTGACGCGTACACCTGCCGGTCTCGCCGCCCCGCGGAGCGGCGGGAAGCACCGGGCAGGGGGCGCCTCCCCTCCAGGTGCGCGCGGAGCTGCGGCCCCAGGTGCGGCGGCCCGGACGACGGCCAGGGGACGCGCCGAGGAGCCCTCCAGCGGCCCCGCCTGGGGCGAAGGGCCGAGACGGCTGTGACCGCACCGAAGGGCTCCTGCTGTCCGGTCCCCGCAACCCCGGCCGGCCTCAGGGGCGGAGCTTCACCGAGCGCGCCCCAGGGGCGGAGCCTGACGACCACGCAAGGCGGGGCGCGGTCTCCGGAGGTGGAGGAACCCGGACCCCGACTCCTGCCGACGCGGCCCCTCTGGGAGAGCGCGCGGGTGTAAAGGGCCCCTGGCCTGCCTCCCTACCTGTCGACGGGAGAAGAGAGCAGTCCCTGGCTGCAGCACCCGGGAGCCGCAACGTTGGCACAGCACCGCTTTCCGGTTCCGGCCCTCGGCTGACACTAACTCGCTCAGTTCCTCCGCTTGTTCCATCGCCGCTACCGCCACAGCCTCCTGGGCCACGACCGCGCAGGCGCCGCCTCTGCTCGCTCTTTCTCCACTGCGCTGGCGCGGCTAGACAGGGGCGGGGCGGGAGGACGACCACGCCCTCTCCGCGCAGGCGTCCGCTGCCCCGCTCTGGACTCTACTGCGCAAGCGCCTTCCTTCATTGCCTAACCTGAGCGGGTAGGTGTGGGCAGGCTTTGTGACAGGGTCAGTCCCTGGCGCCAGTGACAAATCTCCTTACCTACCTGGTCACTAATATTTAGACCTAAACAAATACGTCATTAAGGTTGACCTTACTGTTTAGTTTTCTGAGATTCGAATTTAGTTTCCTAAATGAATGGGGACATTACTGGGGGCAACGTGAAGGGACTCTGGGTCGGACTCCCCATCAGCAAGTTATGGCTACAGCTTCCTCTATCAGGAAACTGCTTAGAACAGCATGAACCTTTTTGGTATTGCAAAAAGATGCCCGGAAGCTTTAATTGTTGGTCTCTGTCCTAATCATGGTGACGATTTATGATGCAGCAAAACATTGTTTTGAAGCGCTTTTAGCAATTTATTAAATAGGCTGGGCGCGGTGGCGCACCGCCTGTAATCCCAGCATTTTGGGGAGATGAAGCGGGAGGAGTGCGTGAGGCCAGGAGTTTAAGGTTGCTGTGAGTTATGATCGTGCCACTGCACTCCAGCCTGGGTGACAGAGCAAGACTCTGTCTCCTAAAAACAAAAACAAACCCTTACTAAATCATCACAAAACGAAACGAGGACAATAAAGATCAAAAGGGTAACATTCCAGGGCCCATAAATCCAGGTGCAGCTTAAAGCCACTGCTCTTAGTTATTGTAATACTTAACTATATAGTATTTATATATGAACAAAGGTGAGAACAAGTTTAGGAATGGTTAGTAGACTAAATTTGTGGCTGAACCAGATTATGCCTGAGGAAAGAGGCAGTATTAGAGGTAGGTAGGTAAGATCAGAAAGGTAAATCACAGCTGGCCACAGTGGCAATTGCCTGTAGTCTCAGCTACTCTGGAGCCTGACACAGGCAGGATCCCTTGAGGTCACGAGTGCAAGACCAGCCTGGGCAACATAGCCAGACCCTATTGCAAAAATAAAATAATTTTTGAAAAGTAGATCATCATAGGTCTAATGTCATGCTAAGGAATTTGACATTTATAACAGTGGCCTAACAGCTCAATATTTACTGAATATCTGCTGTTAAGTAGTACTGTAAAGATCCTATCTATGCTTTAGAAAGATAACTGATGGAACGAAGTGGAGAGGCTAGATTGGAAGAGAGGAAAAAGAGCAGAAGTAAGGATATCTGGAGGCTATTACCTCATGAGTACAGCCAAGAGACAAAGGCTTAAATTATCTGGTAGCAGAGAGAGTAAAGATAGGGGAATAGATTTGGAACAGTTAAAGGTAAAATTGCATATAACTTAGAAACTAATTGGATGTATTAGTATTGTGATGGGGGTGACACAAGATAAATGATAGCTTTCCTAGAAAGACAGAAGGAACCACCTAATTTGGTGCTTCCTAATCTCTGTGTATGTATGTGAACATATGAAAGTGTGTAAGATTGGGAAGAGAGTGAAAAAAGAGCTACAAGTGTAACATGTTAACTTTCTGCAGAGTATTCAGTTGTGGCTGCAGTATAGGAACTATCTGTAAATTTGGTCTGAAACTCGGAAGTCAGCACTGAAGACAGACTAAGAACCATCAGCCCTTTACCCCCACTTCTCTACCTCTCCCTCGACTTCCCCTGTATCTCTTCCTGAGATAGAATGAGCACGTTTCATAGGCTGTGGTTTAATTAGCAGACATCTACTAAAGAAATGTTGGCAGGCACCTTTAGTGAAAATAACTTCCTCTTGTGGTTCCTGCTTCCTTTTGCTCTGGGAGCATCAGGATTTTTACAATTTTGCAGGCCTTCTGCGTAGCTGTTTATATCATGTGCCATAAATTGAAGCAAATGGAAAAGGGACTGGGGGTGACTGAAGCTCGAAAATTCAAGTGGGTGCTAGATGAGCTCAAGATGGTCTCTTTATCCTTCCCTTTGGTTTTTAAGTAACTCCAAGTGTGAGAAGGACCTATGAATATGACAAATTCAGGTAAACATTTTATTGACGAGAATCTCCATAGTGATAAATGTGGAGGCTAAAGTAACTCCGTTTTGGATGCTAATGCACCATATTAACTTTGATTAACTCCAGTTTAGAGAATGCCTCTAAAATTTCCACTTTATCTACTGTTCCTTGTGTAAGAGTGCAGACTTACTGTAAATCCTGTCCTTAGGTCAAAACAACCTTGATGCTATCACACAAATTACAGGCAATGATGTACATAGCATACTCTTTTCCTGGAAGGTCAACTCTGTCCTGCACATTCCTACAGAGCACATATACCCTTTTCTTACATAAGCCATGGGTCTGGGAAGTAACAGCACAGAGATCTACCTGTCTTGTGGAAGACTAAGACCATGCTACTGCCCATAAGTTCCCCAATAAATCGCTCTTTACCGACAAAGTGGATTTGTCTGCCTCATTCTTTGGTTATTTGGCTCCTTCTGCATTTGGAGGTTACTTTGCATATATAGCCCTTTCACAAAACAGTAAAGTGCCTACCTCTTACCTGTGTCTAACAGAGAAACAGTAGAACTAGTTGGTAAACCCACAAGGTAAACATGTTGAAGAGATGGGATCTAAAGCTGATCCTTGTATCCTGTCCCGTAAAATGTCTGCTAAGGCAGTGCTGGTTAGCCACAAACACTCTTAAAGGCATTCGAGACAGTTGATTTTTAATATTTTCTTAAAAAAATACAAAGGAAATTAATTCTGTAGGTCAATACAATTCAGGGTAAGAGGAAAAAATGGAATTTCAGAACAAAGGGAAAGTGCATCCTTGTTTAGATTATCATATCCCCACACTCCCAGTACCCATAAAACAAGAATTTCACTCCATGACACAGACAAGCCTTGACTGGTAGCTCAGAAATGTTGATAGCAGAGGTACTGGAACTAACAAAAGAAGCTTGGTTGTTGTTGACTATTCTGAGATGAATAAAATCCACTCTAAGGACAGGTAAGGGACACTTATAGCAGGAAAAAGACTAAATGTACCAAACACAGCAGTAAAAACCACTCCTTAGCAGAAGTGTGCCCTTAAAAGAATGGGGCAGTAATCAGGTAGCTGAACTCCTAGGCTGCTGCCACCCCCAACCCATCCCCAAATAAATAACGTGGAAGTGTAACAGTAATAGTGTAGTAGTATTTGATTCAACACAGAAAGTCTTTCACCCATTCCGAGCAAACATTGCCATGGCTAGATGAGCCCTGGCAGAGAATAAGACGATTGTAAAATCACAGGTACTTCTAATTCATCCCCAGGTATACTGAACGCCCACATTTATGCCATCTCCTCTTATCCCAACATTTGTTCACTGTTATTTTCTCAGTCTCCAGTGCCAAGATGCTCGACACTCTACAAAGACCTTGGGGAAATAAAAAGTCCTTCAAATAATATACCTTTTTCAGTCTTCCAGGTTATACTTCAGTGGTGTTTGAGGTTCACTCACATTCCATTAAATTCAGTTTACTTCACTTACCCCAACCTCAGTTCTGATATACCAACCCTGCCCCCCCAAGGGAGTGTCACATGAATCTCTCTCCCTGGTCCCCAAAGTTTTGTTAGGGCTCTCCCTTTTGTTTTCCTCCAGAATGAAACTGTGTTGCCCCTACCTACCTGTAGATTAGAATATTTGTTCCTAGAAAAAAACAAAAACACTTGGATTTTACCAAACTTACTCAAGTTGGTATCCTTCTAATTATCTAGCCTGGATATTGCCCACATCTAGTAGGCCACACTCACCTTAGTTGTCTGCAATATATGAGGCATAACTTATGTATAGCTTCCCAAGCACATGGTAGTTAGAAATGACAAGAAAGTGCTCTCCAAACCAGAGGGAGAGGTGTCTGGTTTCTGACATCCATTCAGTGTGCGTTCTCTTCCCTTGGATATCTGTCACCCACCCTTCTCGGGGACAACAACCAGCACAAAGGGGAGTGTGTGTCAAATAAGTACAATCATCACTGCACCGGTGCCTATAATCACTCTGTGCACAGAGTGAGAAACAAACATTCTGAAAAGGATCCTTGATTCTCCCACAAACTGTCCTTTGGACTGGTCACAAGCTCTGGATGGTGTTCCAACAATGGTCACTTCTCTCGGAGAACACACACACCAGCATCACAGCGCTGGGTTCCCATGGATGTCACCACTTCCCAGCTGTCGATGATAGGGTCATAGCACTCAATACTGCTCAGCAGGGAATTACCATCATATCTGAGTGGGAAAGAAAGAAATGAGCTTTCTATTCCTTTCCATACAAGTTCTTCATCAAAGATGCCACTGGAGACGTCTCCCCCTACCCAAACCCTGTCTCCACCCAAAAATGAGAATGGGATCACATAAACTCTTGCCCTGGATACATGATGAGTCTGGCCTGGTTTCTAAATCCGTACCCTGCAATTGCATAGAGTCTTCCCCGAAGCACTGTGGCCCCTACGTAGCATCGTGGAGTGGTCATACTAGTGACAGTTGTCCAGGAATCGGTGCGAATGTTGTATGCTTCAACAGAAGAAAGGTGGGCTGTACCATCGAATCCCCCCACCACATAAATATGGTCATTCAGCAGGGCTACTCCTGCACCTGGGCAAAAAGAAGCTATTAGCAAATGAATGGTACTAAGCCTGGGATCAGAATCCTTGAAACAAAACATCAGTCACTAACGGCTAGCTGAATTCTAGGGTAGATGAGGAATATGCCCGGGCCCAGGTGGGCCTAGAATAATCTAGTCCAGCACAGGTTATTCTATCTGTAAATCCTTTGGCTAGGACTTGAAATGATAAAAGAAAAATAGAAATGGTTCTCTTTTTTACTTTTTTTTTTTCCTGCCCCATATAACTTGTTAGAAACTTCTTTACTTTCATTAACTCAGAAAGCCCAACCCTATTCATTAGGGAAAAAGAAGTAAGTAAAAAATAAAAAGCAGTAAAAGTGGAAGGAGGAAAGGAGTTGTGACTATGGTTCCAGAGCAATTTTTACCTAGAGAGAATAAACTAGAATGGCACAGTGTTTGCTCCTTTCCTACATCCCAGCCTACGCCACCTCAAAAAGCTCTCGGAGAAGGTAAACAGCTCCTCTTCTGCTATTATGCACTAGAGATTTTATTTAACAAATATTTGTACATGTACTACATAGACAAAATTGTACTAGATATTCTAAAATGCAGGGAGAGAACAAAGACATGAAGGCTTTTTATCTCAAATTTATAATTTAGTTGAAAGTTTAAGCTGTCTTTATCCTAATATTTAGAGAAAAGAGAGGCAAACAGGGGAATGGAATCTGACTCATAAGCCTACAGTGAAGCAGAACTGTAAGTCTGACTTATTGATATCCTGTCCTGTGACTGCACCACCGTTACACAGGGAAAGATTTGACAGCACTGTCTGTTGTCCCCTCACTCAGATGTGGTCTTACCAGAACGCTTGGTGGCCATTGGTGTAACATTGGTCCAGTGTCCTGTATGGGGATCGTATTTCTCGACTGAATTTAAGATATTCAAGCCATCATATCCTCCTAAAAGACAAAGTAGAGACTATTCCAGAACGAGTGGTAAATCCTCATGCCCATTCCAAGTTGGCCTTTGAGTGCTCTAATTTTTTTTAGTTTCAATTCTCCCACAAGAGTTCCTTAATAACCCAGAGAGAAATCTGACAGTACCCTACTTTCTGCTTACAAGAAGAAGATAATCCCGCTTAATGGAAAATATATTGAAATGGACAAGGGTTTTTGTTGAAGAAAGTCTATGAACTTAACTAATTTTGATAAAAAAGGATTCCCACCCAGTCTCTTGAGTTCTCTCCCATTCCAGCAACCCAGACTCAATACCTAGACAGTAGATCACTCCACTGGCCACTACTAGTCCGGCGCCTTCCCGGGCTGTCTGCATGTCTCCCAGCATGCTCCACTGGTCAATGTTGGGGTCATATCGCTCCATACTGGTGTGACGCCTGCTTCCATCAAAGCCTCCAGAGACATAGATCATATCTGCTCAGAATGAACAAATCACAAACTATTAAAGAATGAAAGATTTCTAAGAATTCTTTTCTCTACAAATTCCCTACAGGTTCTTTAAATGTCTGGGAGTAAAAGCAAAGTGTTTTTTAAAATGGAATAAGTCAATTAAGTGTTATAGACAAGGAAGACCGCACAGTTAAGACATCTAAAAAGAATGGAGTAAGATGAAATCTTTAAAATCATTCGAAGACCACATGGGAGTTTGCAAAAACACAACAACTAGTGCTAGTTCCTCACCCAGCCCACTGGAACTTGATTTACCAACTTTGTAGTTAGTATTGAAACATGAATACTGATCAGCTTCTGTAACATTGATACTTCCGAAAGCAAAAGGTATATTTGACCGTACAAGTTTATCCTCAAATTTCATACTCCTGCCAGACAAGAGGAGAGATAAGAGCCCTGATCGAGCCTTAGTAGAGATGGAAACGTTACCCTGCACACCAAGCCTACCTCCCAGGGTGGTGGCCCCAGCAAGGCCTCGTCGGACATTCATAGGGGCCACAGAGTACCAGACCCCATCCTCGTCCGCTGTGTAATCCAGGCATTCCACTGAACTGAGGCGGGAACGGCCATCATAGCCACCAATTACATAGATCCGGTCATGTAGGGACACTGAGGCTACGTAACGTCTCTTACGAGTGATGCTCTACGGATTTGGAAAGAAGAGGTACAGAGAATTTCAGTTAGGCAAGTTTTGGGACTTACCTTTTGCTCTCCTTGCTGTTTTTATCTACACACCTGTATGCTGCTTCACCTGTCACCATGAACCCTCCTTGAGTGGTTCATTCTCAAGTGGCCCTCAACTGGCTGCCTCCTGAATGAAATTCTTGTTGTGGTGCTCTTAAAGATGCAAGCCTTCTGCACATTTGTCTCCTTCTAAGGCTTTCTACTCCCAGCATCTGACTCCTTTCCTTTCCATAAGGTACCAGGCTTAAGTGACAGATATTATTCCACAAAGTAGAAAAGTATTCCTGCATTGCTAATAAAAGAGCCAGGATTGAAACACCCTAAAAAGCAGGAGTGGATTTCCATATTTTCTCAGAAATTATTATTATTCATTTAGCACTGAAATAGAGACCTACTGAGGGGAGAAGGATACAAACTTCTGAGTTTAGCTGACACTAGTTCAATTTAACACAATTCGACAATTTGACACGGAGTCCAGTCAAACATAGTGTGACCAATGAAGGATTCTGGGAGTTATACAGACAGCTTAGAAAGGCACCTAAATAGGCAGGGCATGGTGGCTCACACCCGTAATCCCAGCACTTTGGGAGGCTGAGGTGGGAGGATTGCTTGACGCCAGGAGTTCGAGACCTTCCTGAGCAACATAGCAAGACCCAGACTCTACAAAAAAATTAGCCAAGCATGGTGGCACGCACCTGTAGACCCACCCACTTGGGAGGCTGAGGCAGGAGGATCACTTGAGCTCAGGAGTTTAAGGTTGCAGTGAGCTATAATGATGCCACTGCACTCTAGCCTGGGCAACAGAGTGAGACCCTGTTTCAAAAAAAAAAAAGAGAAAGGCACCTACATAGCAGTGAGCAGCTGAATTTGGCAGAGGTATTGACATTTCTAAAATCTAATCTTCTAATCTAAACAGTCAGAAACTGTTTACTGAGTACCTACTGTATACACAACACTATTGTAAGAAACATTACACTGTTACCAGGCTTTTCTACTCTTAGGGCTGGATTAGTTAGGATCTAGAGTACGGGACCAAGGACATTTAAGCTCCCTCCCAACAAATGGTTCCACCATTATTTACTGGCAAAAAGCTCCACTCCTGAGTCTTGGGGTCATATTTTTCCACCACATCGATGGGAGACTGCTGGCTTCCGAAGCCCCCAACGACCAGAAGCACTTCATTGGCTCCTGAAGACAAAGGTAAGAAAAAATAGGTTACTTCCCCATCCCTGGCTGGGTAACTCACAGGGAAGTTTAAGTAGAAATAGTTTCAAAATATCTTGTTTTATGTTGTGGAGAGATTGATCTGAAATAGGAGATACATCATAAGGCTATCCAATATAGGAAGTTATTTCTTCTTGAGGCTCTAGCTCTTGAGTCTCTGAAATTTAAATTTCTGGACATTAAAACTGTGGAAGGCAAACCTGAACATACCACTGAACTGTTTCACCCTACGGAGATGACTTTGGCTAACATAGTAGCAGACAGCTTCAGTGCTGGTTGGGGACATAGAAACAGGAAAGAAATAGATTATGCTACAAAACCCAGGGAACTGACAGCATTTCCTGTTGGCTGAAAGTTTCTCAGTGAACATTCTGGTAACTATATGTCTACAGCAGAACTTAGACAGAGGTGTCAGTGTGAGTTGTTCAGGCATTTTATGGCTGTAAAATGACTGGGAACCTAGATTGCATGTTACTGCCAAAACCCCTGTACTTCCTACCACGTTGCGCTCCTTTTCCTTCCTCTTTTCCTACCAGAATGGGTAAAGCACGTAGGGGAAGGGGAGAGGTGGGTAGAGCATACCACTTACTACGTGGCACTCAAAAGAATCTCTAATTCACAGGATCTAAATATATTGAAATAAAACTGTAACATATTACATGATACTTCACAATTTATAATATACTTTTATACTTTATCTCATTTAATGTCCAAATAATTATATGAAATAGATGAAGATATCTTTGAAAGGAAGTTTAGAGTGGTAAAGTGATGTTTAGAGTGGTAAAGGGATTGAGATGACGCAATAAAAGATATAAAACAGAGTCTTTGTACTTCTTACAGAAGGTCTTTTTCAACTAATTAAGCCTCCTGTAAGAAGTAGTTGAAAAATGTCCCCATTTGCCAAGATGCCAGCTTACCTAGACGAGCCCTTGTCCTGGGGCCCTGCATCTGACTCCGAAGTTCAGGCCTCAGATGAAACTTCTTCGCTTCATCAACTAGATCCCTGCACTGTAAACTACAGCGGATAAAAGGCTGAAACACAGCAGACAGTAGAGTGAGCCACAGGGTCTACCTCCAATACGGTAAGAGCACAAATGGCACATGAAGAATTAACTTCTCAATATAGAAAACCAGGGTCCAGAGCCCTGTGATTTCAGGAGTATTGCTTGTATTAATAATAACTAGGCTGTGGGTTTCCAGAAATGATTTTTAAAATAGATAAAATATCACACAGATCAAAAATCAGAAGATATATTGAGAAGTATTCTCCGTCTACATTGGCACTTACCTGTAATTACTTTTATTAGTTTGTGTATCTTTCCAGGGATTATGCAAATACAAGTACATAGTAACTAATAAGAATTTTAAGAGAAAACTAGAAGGCTTCTGTTATTTTCTGGGGTAAGAGAAAGAAGTATACCTTGTCTGAATAATTTTCCCAAGGTTCACAGCGCATAATCCCCATGTCCATTTCTGAGAGTTCTGTACTGGACATCTTTCATTTGCCTCCCCAGAGTCACTCTGTGCCCTTCTCCACTCTGCTCTCTGGCTCAGAAGACTGGACTATATGAGCTACATCAATGGGGCTCCGATGCCCTCTGGCTTCTGGTTGGGATCAGCCCAACCAAAGGTCAAGCCTCCTCTCAAGGCAGTGACTCTACATGACTCTTTCTTTTAAGGTTCTGGTAACCACTCCTTGACCTTGTTTCTTCAGGTTTAGGGGTTAACAGTTTGGCTATACTAGATCCAGATTATTTCACTGTCTTTTGTTGTTTCTCTACACTCGCATCTTTGTAAGCAGCTCCTTTAAAAATAAACCCTCCTCAAATTGTCCTATTTTGAGCATGTCACCTGTTTCCTGTTGGGACCCTAACTGATATAAGCTCAAATTACATAACACAACTATTAACCTGACATTTTCGGGATGAATTGGAAAGGAATATAAACAATACTAGTAAATATATGTAAGACATAATTCTAAAAGCTTTTACATACTAACTTATTTAATACTGACAGCAACCTATGAGGTAGGTCCTATCATCATCTCTGTTTCACAGATAAGAAGGCTGAGGTGCAATTATATTAAGTCATCTATCTGGCTAAGGTTCACATAGTAAGCGGTGAATTTGGGATTTCAGCTCCCTGAGTCTGGCTCCAGAGTCTGTGCTCTTAACCACAGTATAAACAACTGTGGGTTGAAAGGCATATGGTATAAAAAAGAAAAAAGAACAGAAAAAAACCAAAAACAACTAGACACAAAGGGTATGCTGATGGGTTGTAAGAAAGAAATTATAAATAGAAGAAAAAGAGTTTGAGATGTGACATTAACCAGCCTGCAACTTTTCTAACGTGAACAACTGAAAAACCGTGTTCAAAGTTAACTCCCAAAGAGATCTAGGACTGGGCCAACCAAGAGGATCTCATTCACTGACCTGAGCCTTACCTACATGTTATAAAGCATTGTTCCCCTAAAGCACAGTCCAGGTAACACAGGTGGTATATATGGTAAAAATTATGAAAACATATTACGAAGAACTTAAGTTGGAGAAACACTTTTATAAATAAACGCAACATGATATGACCAAAGTTGACAACAAAATGCATCAAACTACTATCATGCTGGCTTCATTAGAGGTCAAAAATAAAGAGGCTTGCTAAGCAAAGCATCTTTGGCTGTTTTTCAGGGCAACTGGGAACAATTTATGTTCAATGGGGAAGGAGACAAAGTTTATCATCTGATGTTTACATAAAACACTTAGGGGCACATAAAACAAAAACACAAAACACAAAATTAAACCATAGATTTTCATTTGTGTCAGGAGCCTGACTTGCCAAGCAATGAACTTTTCTGAGAAATATAACTGGGGGCCGGGCGTGGTGGCTCATGCCTGTAATCCCAGCACTCTGGTGAGGCCAAGGCAGGAGGATGGCTTGAACTCAGGAATTCAAGACCAGCCTGAGCAAGAGCAAGAGCAAGAGCAAGACCCCATCTCCTCTAAAAATAGAAAAATTAGCCGGGCATGGTGGCACATGCCTGTAGTCCCAGCTACTCGGGGACGCTGAGGCAGGAGGACTGCTTGAGTCCATGAGTTTGAGG